ATACTATATTAACTATTATTGTATTCCCGACCTGGATACTATATTAACTATTATTGTATTCCCGACCTGGATAATATATTAACTATTATTGTATTCCCGACCTGGATACTATATTAACTATTATTGTATTCCCGACATGGATATTATATTAACTATTATTGTATTCCCGACCGGGATAATATATTTACTATTGTTGTATTCCCGATCTGAATAACATATTACCTATTGTTGTATTCCCGACCTGGATACTATATTAACTATTGTTGTATTCCCGACCAGGATACTATATTAACTATTATTGTAATCCCGACCTGGATACTATATTAACTATTACTGTATGCCCGACCTGGATACTATATTAATTATTATTATATTCCCGACCTGGATACTACATTAACTATTATTGTATTCCCGACCTGGATACTATATTAACTATTATTGTATTCCGGGCCTGGATACTATATTAACTATTATTGTATTCCCGACCTGGATAATATATTAACTACTATTTTATTCCCGACCTGGATACTATATTAACTATTATTGTATTCCCGACCTGGATAATATATTAACTACTATTTTCTTCCCGACCTGTATACTATATTAATTCTCGACCGACGATATATTAACTACTATTGTATTCCCGACCTGGATACTATATTAACTATTATTATATTCCCGACCTGGATACTATATTAATTATTATTGTATTCCCGACCTGAATACTATATTAACGACTATTGTATTCCCGACCTGGATACTATATTAACGACTATTGTATTCCCGACCTGGATACTATATTAACGACTATTGTATTCCCAACCTGTATACTATATTACCGACTATTGTATTCCTGACCTGGATACTATATTAACTATTATTATATTCCCGACCTGTATACTATATTAACTATTATTGTATTTCCGACCTGGATACTATATTAATTATTATTGTATTCCCGACCTGGTTACTATATTAACTATTATTATATTCCCGACCTGGATACTATATTAACTATTATTATATTCCCGACCTGGATACTATATTAACGACTAT